ATCTGTAAATGGTACCTGGGACCAACAACGCAAAGAAAAGAAAAAAGAGAAGTAAAACAGAACAAAAAGAAGCAAGATAAGCAAACAGGAAAAAAGAAAGAAGCAGAAAGAGTACAAATGTGATAGAAATATGAAGAAACCAATGTTGAAATTCCACCCTTCTTCTCCACCCTTCTTACCTCCTCCAGTGAACGGAACTTCACCTCGGGATTTTTGGGTTGCCTTCTCCGATCGGTGCAGGTGCTGAAGGCGTCCATGGGTCTCTTGGCCGGGTTGGGCCGATCCTTAGCTCTTACATACCCAGCACCCGAGCTCGACAGGTCACCAATGGTTCGACCTCTTAGTTAGGGCCTTTCCCAACCCTCCATTTCGAAGACCTGTTTGTCGTCGGGTGCTGGTAGGAGTATGGTTTTTTTTATGTTTTCTATTTTCCCTATATGGGGTGAATCGCGGTCGAGATCCAGAAAGTCAAACATATGATACATGGGGTACATCAAATCACCCTTTCTGCTTTGGCAGGAAGACGCATCAGGTTTGTGTTTTTTTTTTCCCAAGCTGCCTGGACAGCAAATCCAAGGATCACGACATGCCAAAGCCCTGGAGGCGCCCATGTCCGTCCCGTCGACGGAACCAACGGGCGAGACGAGACTTGATTGCGCCCAGCGATGTGGCGTGGAGCGAGACATGAGCGGCGGTCGTGAAAGAAAATTGGTTTTAGTTGATATAGGCATCCTTATTGCCATCCATAACCTTTTTTTTCATTTGGTAGAGGTCACAGAAGAGTTCATTTCTCAAGACGCCTTCGTGGATTCTGAACACGGGTTAATCTATACCTGGATCTTCCAACTAATTTACAAAAATCTATGCCTTTTAGCTAGTTGTTTGGATGAAACTGGATACATGTGTCACAGTTGGAAGATCCAGGTATAGCCCAACCAAAGGCATCCCTCTTGAAAGAACTGCGCTGCGCGGACCGCGCGATGGACCGGCACGGTTTGCCGCCGCCGCAGGCGCTGAGTCGACTGCAGGAGCATCCCAGGCGTTTGCCACAGGAATTGGCTCTGGCGATCGGTCGAGACTTGGAGGAGCTCCGCACAGCTGACTGACTTCGGGGAGTTCAGGTAGGGAGCATTTTTTGGATGAGGGTGGTGACGGGTGGCGGGTTTGGAGGTGGTTTTCGGGGGGCGGAAGTGCCGTGAGGTTGGGGTGGTTTAAGAGGTTTGTTGCCTTGAGTGGGATGGACAGTTGGATGCATTGGTGGGATGTGTGATGCTTGGAGTTATGGAGGAGAGATCCACCTGGCAAACTGGCCCCTGAGGGCGAACCTCTAAGGGATTTCTAGCTAAGGCCTTGGCTGCTACAGTAGCGTGACCCACAAAAAGTTTGAATCATTGCTGAACAATCCTTCAAGCCATCATATGAATCGACCTGCTCTCAAAATCCCTATGCTTTCAGGGCCACTCAGTGCGGCCCTGCTTGGGAAGATGAACACCAGTGTGCCTGTGGAGTCGGCACTCCAGGAGCCTTTCAAAGGTCCGCAAAGCAAGCCGCATCTTGGAACTATAGTAGTTTCAGAATAGATGGCACTGGCACCCTAAGAGGATTTTGAGATGGGGATCCATCTAAACCACCAACACCTTTGGGGGTAACGTTGTGCCATCTACTCCGAAACCACGATAACCTGGCAGTGGAGTGAACCCCTCCTGTTGGGTCTTCGGATTTCATGGCCATCCGAACGAAAGGGACCATCTTCCCACCCATGTTTCGTACCAGGAACAGTATCCAGTGCCGTCACGGGGACGTCCGGACAGTGGGTTTGAACAGCTGAAAGAAGAAGCAATGTGGATTGATCGGATCGCCCTATTGTGTCGTCAAAGAAATGGATTGATCGGATCATCCCCATCTATTTTGAACCTCAGTGTTCTTTTTGTTGACATTTGAAGAACTTCAAGAAGTTTGACCTTCAAGTCCTTGGACCCTTTGAAGGCCCGTTGTTTTTCTTTTTTGATTTGCCCATTGCACGCGTAATTGGGATAGAATATAAGGAGAACAAGAATCAATGCCTCGAGGGTGTGTTCAACATTGACAGCCGATGCCACAGGGAAGAGACAGATGGGCAAAAACCACGACTCACCGACCATCCAGCTCACCAATCAGATCTTATTAGGTAAGAAGATGTACCAAAAAAAGGCTCGTTTGAGTGTGTTTGAAGATGATGAGACCGCTACACCGGGACAGCCCGTTGTCCTTTTTGTGGGTAACCTTATGGGACAATGGTCTACCGATTCCGGTTTGGCCTACCTACCATCAATGGTTGGTAGAGGTGACCCCCCAACAAGCAGTTTAGCAAGCTCATCTGGAGAAGGGAAATTTCAGGAAAGTGCCAAGGATCAAACAATTGCTTACAAAGGAAGAGTCTCTACTGGACGTTACTGAACGGTTGAATCGCAAAGCCAAAGCTGGTCTGGTGGTCTGGCTGGCTACTTCGAGTTGGCTCGTCAGGAAATAAAGCCGGCACATTTTTGACTGGAACGAAGTCCTTAATGAACCCAACACCAAGATTCAGCTACATGGGACAACTGCAGTCTCCTTTCCTTTCTAGTCCAAAATCCCTGGTTCAATTGCCAAAGGCAAAAAGGAAGACTTGTCATGTTTGTTTCGACTTTGCTCACGGACCAACCTCACCACTCAAGCCGACAGCTTCTGGGATTGGCTTTTGGGCTCGATGTTGTCCACACGCTGCGTCACTCAGGCGATGGATGTCGACGCTCTTGTGGGCAGAGGAAGAGAGCCGGGCGATGATGTGGGGAGACTTTGGGGAGTGAAGGCGATCGTGTAAGGCACCTGGAACGACCAGGAACGTGAGGGCGATCGTGAGGCGATGGTGCCTCACTAGGTCCAGACAAGTGAGGCTCCTGGCACGTCCTGGCAGCTGAGGCACTGGAACAACTGCAGCGAAGTCCTGCCCAGTTGGGCACACATCAGAATAACTTGGAGGGTGTTCAGAACTGGTGCTTGGAGATAGGAGCTGGGGGTATCCATTCATATTCCCCCCATGAAAAAGGGAGCCGTTGGGAGCTACAGAGAGTTCCCCAAGCATCCTTTTGGTAGAATCTGACACGTTTCCACTTGTGTTTGGCAACAGTAGGGTGTGTAGCATGGTGCCAGATGGTCGTTTAGGTGGTCGTCTTCGGAGCTAATTTGTGCGGATGGTTTCGTTGCAATGATCCTGGGGTAGTTCAAACATTTAGGAACTGTCCTATAGGTGAACGTTCTGGAGTAGATGAAGTATGCAACGTTCGTGCAATTCATGTCCCTTTCGCTTTTGGTGAACTAGAACATGTATATAACTGGAAGTGTCAGGCGCTTATGGCTGCGCACGCCTGCCCTGTACAGTCGTTTGTGGTGGTCAGGATTCTTCTTGCACAGTGAAGTGGTGGCCATGTCAGGCCACGTCAGGCCCAATACCAAAATTGGATCCATTCAGATGTCAGTTCCCTCTCTTGATTATCACATGATTTGGGCAAAGAATCATCCCCTTAACTTAGAGAAGGCACCTTAAGCATGATGCCTGACAGGGAAGTTTTCCAAGTGCATGTTTTGCATACTGGGGATCGCAAAAGAGGAAACAAACTTTCTGTAATCCCTAGGCCTCCAGCCACATCCTCAGAAGGTAGTTAGATCCCCCTACGCCCTCATCACCTTGTGAGGATGTGGGCCCTAGGGAATGTAAAACATCTGGGAGACAGGTCCAGGTGCATCACCTGCACCTCAGGTCTTCCTGGTTCCGATCATTGCTGGAAAGTATAATGAAGAAGACTGACCACCATAGAGTTGTACCCCTTTTTCAGGGGACCGAGGGCCTTGAACCGACCCATGACCTGCTCGTTGAAGACGACCAGGTCAAGCTGTTCGGTTGGTGTTTTCTCGTCTTTTTCCCCTCGCTTTCATCCGCTCCTTGAAGACGAGGAAGTGGTCCGGCGCCCAAAGCGACGGGCAGCAGACGACGCGGGGGAAAGCGGGGGAAAGCGGCTGATCTTGAGACGACTGGGCACCATGTTTGGGGCAACCTCTATTGGAACCTGAGAGTTCAGAGCGAGCTCACCGGTGTTGAGAGGTCACCCGATGCCCTGCGAACCGACGGGTAGAGCGTAACAAAGCGAGGTGCAGTGCAGCTGGTGGTGTCAGACCTGCATCCCTGCGCACCCAAAAACGTGAGTTGCTTCGGTCGGCTTTGGTTGCTGTGGCCAGTGCAGGCCACGTGCGTAAACCACAGGCCTTACGGGTCTAAACACAACGACAATTGGTGAAGAATCGAACCATGGGCGGAACCATGAGGGAACCCTCAATACTTGCGCGAACCGTGTTTTGGTCCGGTCACCCATGACATCGATTTCCTGTGTGAGTCGCGCCAAGCATCGATGATCTTCGAAGTCTTCGGGTCGCTTCCGCCCCTCCGATGACCTGTCATCGGAGTCACCGAAACGTGGATTCTTCACGCTTTCAAGCCATGATCTAACTGCTTCAGTGCACAGATGATCTGTCAGACTTCTCAGACTCTTTCCTGAAAAAAGTTAATTAGGCACACTGATGCTAATTACATCTAATTACCAATATTTAAACTCGATGAATAAAATCCCCCTGGTGAAGAGGCGTTATAGATCGTTGTAGCAAACATCCAAATGGAGTTTCTATTTTACTCATCAAGAGTCTACATCAAAAACACCCACATGGCACAGAGTGTCCATAGACTATAGAGTGTCCATGGATTTGGGAGAAGGCTTCCTTTGCCCGGCAGTGGGTGTCCATGGGGAGGGTCAGTGCAACAAGTAAGAGCACCTCCAATGCCAGGTGAGCTAGAAAGAAGAATCAAACACCTTACACTGTCCAGTTTGGAACATTACATGGCTTCTATACTTGTTCAAGCACCTTCGAAAGTCATCCAGTTCAATTTCCCCACCCAGACTTCGGGAGCCAGTGGACCCTGTCATTTTCTGCAGGCACCTCCAATCGGATCTTCTTATGTCAAGCCGTGCCCGGCTGCATCGCGTGGTCCACGGCACCTGGGAGCGAAGAGTCGGATCGTGTGTTTTCGGGGCGAAGCCTGGTGAGGTTGGCACTGGAGGAAGGTGTGGCTTCCGTTGCATGTCTCAGCTTTGAAGCAAGAAGATATCTGCCAAAGAGCGTAGAAGTGTCGGAAAACACCTACGTAGAACACTGTGTCCTCGGGGTCGGGATTTTCACAGCATCCTCCGTCCTTGCGATGTGTTGGCTTATCCTGGTCAGAGATAGAAATGGTATGAAATGGTCAACATCACCTATTCGCCATCCAAGTTGCTTTGCGAGGGGTACTTGTTCATATATGGTCAACAGCATAGACGCAGACGGGTGGTGTTTTGGCATGGCAGGCATTCTGATGTTTGAACCCGGGGTTCTTCCCCCACTTGGAAGGACAATCCCCAACATACCTATAGGAATTCCAACAAGATTCCCTTCCCGCTATGTGGTGGTATAAAACGTTGAAATGACTGCTTCTGTTGAGCCCCAGCAGCCAAGTTGGTATGTGTGATGACACATGCAAGGCAGGAGATATGTTCTCTTGCGGTGTTCTTTGTTCCGGTCAATTTGATCTGTGAAGCATGGTTGGTGATGTGCGGACTCTTGGTGTAGGCGCACGCGCACACACATTTTGCTCGGGTTATCTCGGGTTGATCCTCATGAAGGTTGCTGCCTCCAAAATCAAACAGGGGTATTTGAACAGGGGTGTTACGCATAGATATGGTTTAGGTTTTGGTTTCCACCGAGACCGTGCATAGCAGGAATTGAAGCCTTGGCAAATGGCCTTGCAGATCCACCGGAAGTTGTGTTTTGCTGTTTGAAGGGCCAAGGTCAATTCTATTAACATGTTGATCGAATTGGCAGAAGACCTGTGCCACTATGTGGTCGAAGGAACACAACCCTTTTTGTGCAATAGTTCGTCCTGAGAGTCGTACTTTGTAGTACTTGGAAATGATTGGAATAGCTTGTACAGCATTGTTTATTTGGCTCAGAAGCTAGATGTTCTTTCAGGTGACAGGGAGACAGTTCGAAGGTGTTCGGAAGTGCCTGCTGGGTTGACTTACTGCGTGCAATGCGTTACAATTGATGTTCGTTTGAAGTGTTGGTTGCTGTATATTGCTTCAACCCAGCGGTTACAATTGAGAATGTGGGAGGAACAACGTGCACAGAAGATGGCCTTCTTCTTGTTCTTCTTCATCTTCTTCTTCTTCTTTTTCTTCTTTTGAAACCTTTCTGATTGTTATGTTTTCATCCATGTAGGCTTATGTAGGTGACTGCAGTCTAGGCTCCACAGGCATTGGTGATGTGCGGCTTTTTGGGATTAGAGCCTTTGGCACAACGGCAAGCGTTTGGAGCGCACGGACAAAGCACTGACTGCAGAACATTCTAGAACATAGAATATATTATATATATCATTCAGCTAGGGGGGGTTGGAATACGGGGTTTGAAGCGTCTTTGGAGGCGTTCTTGATATGTTATGTTATTCGGTACACTTGCACCATAGAACTGGGGTTCAATGCTGCTGCTTGAGCATCCGTAATGTATTGTAGCAAGAGATTGCTCACCTGGACAGCGAATTAGACACTGTCGCAATGCTGACAGCATGGCGAGCATCACCTGGCGAGTAACCGTGTGCCGTGCTGGGCTAGCTGCACTGCGATGCTTCACAAGTCAGCGGCTTCAACACTCCAGAGTGCGTTGGCAGGTGAGCTCGTATGGCAGGATTTGTAACACTAGAGGAGTCATTTCGAATGGGTATCTCCGAGCAGATGGATACTATACTGCTAACATTTGTGGACAGACATGGAGGACTCATCGAGTCGTCAAGATTACCTTTCATGGGCTACCCAAACTTAAGCAAGCTTGGCAAGTGCATCACGTGGATGGAGACCCAACCAACAACCGGTTGGACAACCTGGAGTACGTAACGCCAAGTGAAAACATTCGCCACACATACTCTAATCATTCACGGCGCAGCAGTTGGCCTGCAAAGTCCAAACCTGTGCTTTGGAGACCTGTAGGGTCCACCAGCTGGACAACAAGCCCTTCTATCACATTAGCAGCTCTGCAGCTAGGCTTTGGCAAAAATACAGTGTCAAGATGCTGCCGCGACCAAATTGCCACCAAAGGCTATGAGTTTAAGTATCAAGAGTTGAGTGAGCGTGCATTGCCCGCAGAAGAATGGCGACCCATGGTTGATCCGACGTCAGGTGTGTTGGTGCCCGGAAGGATGGTGAGCTCGTTTGGCCGCACAACATCGCAGACTGGCTTGATCAGTAGAGGGTATTTAACTGCACAGGGGTACTATAGGATTCTGATTATGGCACAAGTGGATTCACGCTACCAGAGTGTATATGTTCATCGTCTAGTTGCTTTTGCTTTTCTTGGGCCACCACCTTCAGATGAGCGTATTTTTGTAAACCACAAAGATTTGGACAAAGGCAACAACGCCGTGGACAATCTGGAGTGGGTTTCCGCGGTGGAAAACCGAGCCCATTTCCTTGCAACCTCCACGATCAGGCTTGGGACAAAGCCTGTTTGGAGTCGGCCTCGTGGAATGGATAAGAGCTGGAAATGGCATCACTCCATGGCAAGTGCGGCGCGTGAACTTCGTCTTTGCAAGTCGAGCATTTGGAAATGCATCCAGGGTTTGATGTGGCAAGCTAGCGGATTTGAGTTCCGCCTGGCAGACATGCCAAAGACTGTTGTTCCTTCACTCCCGGGCGAAGAGTGGCGAGATATCGATTTGGTTTTGCTCCAAAGAGACAGGAAACTCCGGGGACTTTGTTAAGAAGACTGGAAGGGCTGCTGCGCTGTTTGCATTGGCGGAAAATGCATGTGACGAATCTCACAACTGCTAAGAAGAACAACGCTGTTGTTTGTTGTCATGTAGCATTGGCCATCCATCACAAACATTCTCCAGTCATAGAATGTCATAGATATTGGCATTGGGAAGCCACACCCATAAAGACCTCATTGTTTTTCAGCTGCACCACAGAGCTGTAATCCACAAGGTGTAGCGAACAGTCAACCAACCCAATCACTTCTTATTGTTTCGGAATGCCCTGACACACGACCACGAGAAGGAAGAGCGCTGCGAACTGGTGACCCATGTCCCGTGTTCCATTCTCCTGCATTGTTCACACAATGTATGTATATAAATGGTTTCATGGTTCTAACTGTTTCAACCATACAGCAACAATGTGGATGTGGCTAAAAGGCACCCTGTCCTGTTTTGGATTTGTTATAAACACCTTGAATGCGGGGAACCAACAATGCAATAACCTGTTCCATCTTTCAGCCGCTGGAGGACCTGTCCCCGGTGGATTTGGTTCCTATAGATACCAAATGGACTGCTCGATGCAGAGAGAGAGAGAGAGAGCGGAATTCAGTGCTGTATTGCGAAGGGCCCAACGTGTTTGGGTGTTGGTAATCAATCCTTGAGAACGGGTATGTGGACTTCCCCTGAAGGGTCTATTCTCACACCAAAGGCAATGCAGTGTGCAATTGCTTTACGACGTCTTCAAAACAACAATCACCACCTGAACTGAACTATTATTTTGTTACATGTTCTATGCAGAGCACATGGAGAGCTTGGTCCGTGCGCCGTTGCTTGCCAGGAGGTTTGCAGCATTTTGCCAGTCAGTCGTTTCAACTTCCCAAAGGGCGTTGGCTTGTGAGTTCACTTGGCAGGCTTTGCAACACCAGAGGAGATATTTCGACCGGGTGTCTCCGATCAGATGGGTACAAGACTGTTGAAATCTTTGGACAGACATGGAAGGCTCATCGAGTTGTCAAGATCACCTTTCATGGGCTACCCAGACTTAAGGAAGCTTGGCAAGTGCATCACGTCGATGGAGACCCAACCAACAACCGGCTGGACAACCTGGAGTATGCAACGCCGAGTGAAAACATTCGCCACTCATTCTCCAAGCCTTCAAGGCGCAGCTGTGGGCCTGCAAAGTCGAAGCCGGTGCTGTGGAGACTGGTCGGGTCCACCAGCTGGACATCAAGCCCTTCTGTCACAGCTGCAGCTATGCAGCTAGGGGTGTCTAAATCTACAGTGTCAGCAAGCTGTCGCAAGAAAAGCACAGCAAAAAGCTATGAGTTCAAGTACCAAGATGATTTTCAGCATGCTATACCTGGAGAAGAATGGCGACCCATGGTTGATCCGACTTCGAGTGTTTTGGTGCCAGGAAGAATGGTGAGTTCCCTTGGCCGCATGAGGTTGCGAACGGAATTGATTAGCCGAGGGCACTTGACTCGACAGGGGTACTACAAAACCTGGATGAACGGCAGGAGTATGTTTGTTCATCGTCTTGTGGCGTTTGCCTTTCTTGGGCCACCACCTTCCGATCATCAATCGTTTGTGAACCACAAAGATCTGGACAAAGGCAACAATGCAGTTGACAATTTGGAGTGGGTGTCTCAGGCAGAAAACCAAGCTCATTCCTATGCAACATCAACCCCTGGGCGCAGGACAGGTGCAAAACCAGTTTGGAGCCGACCTCACGCAACGAATGACGAGTGGCTGTGGCATCCCGCTGCGAAGAGCGCAGCACGTGATTTAGGTGTTTGCCGACGTCGCATTTCCGATTGCACCCGTGGACGGCAGAAGCAAACTGGGGGATATGAGTTTCGATCGGCGGATTCAAATCAGACGGATACTTTACTCCCTGGCGAAGAGTGGAGGGAGATTGATTTGCTGGCGCTTGAAAGAGACAGGGAGGCCCGCAGATGATTCTTTGGAATCTTTGATTCTGTAAATTCCTTCATTCCTTCGCATGTATACGCGGAGAAACTTACGTCAACTTCCGTGGAAAATATGCAGATCCTCTCATCCACTATCATCCACTACTCTTTGCATGAGTCCACAGAGCTTGTTGCCCAATAGCTTAACCTTGTTGAGGAGAAGTGCAATAGTGATTTCATGGCTGCGTTCAGCAAGCAGGCGTTTGACCAGCATGCCCTGCACTCGGAGTTTCCAACGATTTCAAAACCCGCATGTTGACCTTCGACAGTGTCATGCAATCACAATAGTTGTGGATGAGAGGTGATCCCCGGATGATTCAGCTTCGGCTACCAGCTGAACTGGTTCTAGAATCTAGAACAACACATGGTGGCCTTCCCTTTTGGATCAAAGAAGAGTAGCTACCAATGAACCAGTTCGTCCATTAAGAAAAGCTATCGATCTGGTCTCCCTGCAAGGCTGAGAAGTCAATATGTGTGGGATTGCCCCAAGATGTCCCAGCGATAGCCCCGTTCAAAGCGTCCTCCCAAGCACGAAGTGGTGATTTATCAATGTCAAGAGTTCTGAGGATGGATGTAACTGTTCCCACCCAGAGCATTGAGAGACTGGTACTGTGAGTTCCAAAAAAGATTGCATTTGGAACATCATTACTTGGCTTAAGAGGACAGATTGCCACATATATACTATGAGTTATGCCAAAGCAGAGTTTCTAGTATGAAGCTTACAGTCTCGAATCACTGCACCTGCTCTCCTGATCAACGCCAGTTGGTTTGATGAAATGTTGAAAGTTGCATGCTCACAAGCGGAACCCAGGTTCAACCAGCCAGAAAGCTTGAGCTGCAAGCACCAGTTGAGTGTTTTTCGCACCATTTTCCACGTAGCCCACCCTCCAGGCCAAACATGACCGGAACGACACTCTGCGTAGGGTTCCTCGCAGCTTGTGTAGCCTTGCTGTAGAGCATAGGGGCCAACTTCAACTCAGGTCACGAACAAATTCGGCATGTCTCACGCAGAGCTGAGGTCACCACCTTCGTTCCGGACTACTTGCACAAGGAGCAAGGCGCCTTCTTGGCTGCAAAGAACGTTGGATCAAAGATGATCCAAGCAACGACAGTGATAGTTGTGGTGAGGAAACACTTGAGGTAGACTTTGGAAATACATGGAAAAGCATTATTTTCAATGCAAATGGATGTAAATGGTCCAAGGACACCCCAGGTCCTCCCGATCTTCCTATGAAGCACGGCGCTGCCTTCGTTCGGAAAGGGTTGGCCTCAATGCGTCTCAGTACGGATTGTGCCGCGCATGATGCATAGTTCACACACCTTGCTCGGCCTTGCCACCAGATCCCATGGGAGGTATGGATGGGGGGGGTGGTAGATAGAGAAAAAGGAACAATCCAAATAGAAAAGCTACAATGCGGAACAACAACTGCTCCCGGGCCGAGTCGTTGTTGATTTCTTCCCACCAACCATCCTCCATTTGTTCAAGGACGCAACTCACCCACGTCCCCCTGAACCCTAGGAAACAACATAAACATGAAGCAATAAGAACATCCTTGACCTTCATATGACCATTGAAATTCGGGTATATCACACCAAGCCTACGGCCTTATCCTTGAGTACTTCGCAGGTTTGTCCGTGGAGAACGCCACGGTCTTGGTCTCCTTCTTCGGCGCCTCCTGTCTGCTCTGGGCGCTCCTGGGCGCCACCATTGGCCAGCGGATCTACCACAGACCCTCGGCGGAGCGGTCCGCTTCGGCGAATGCTGCGGGAATGAACCGACTGAGCGGTGCTCAGTAGGGAAAGGAGGCTGGCTGGATTCTTGAGGATATATGATATTCTTCTCTAAGTCTATTGGAGTCTCTATATATTAGGGGTTCAGATTGGTTCAAGTGTACGAGTCGCACAGATTTGGTTTTCTCGGTTGGTCCCATTGTTGCCAAAAGGATCCGCTATCAGGGAGGGTCTTCATGAGGGATGAAAGTGTCTACATTGGGTGGGCTAGGGAGTTCAAAGCTGGGATGTCCTGTTCTAGAGTCTCAATCTTGGAAAAGATGTTGAATTGAAGATTCCCAGGGTGATCCAAATTTGGTGATGCGTAAGGTGTTTTGATGTTTGTTTGTAATTCTTTTAAGGTGAGGTGGAAGTTGGTTTGAAAAGGAGCGTCAGCTGATTTTTGAGGGCGTTCGAAGGGTTTTTGTTCACTCAGTTATTTTTGGGGGCGGAAGACAAAGAAACAAACACTGAGGAAACAAGGGGCACCTGGCCTATTTGATGGCTGCCTGCACCTCGAGTGCCGTGCTGCCCTTCTTGCTGCTGATCAACTCGCAGCCGGAAGCCTTGCCACATGGGCAGCACCTGGTGAGATCGATGGGTGGCGAGGGACTGAGGGGGTGCTGCGGGATATGGTGATTCTCTGGCAGCAGAGAAGAGAAGTCCAAACACCTTCCAGAGGAAAGTGTAGCACTGGTTTGCACGATTCAAGATTAAAAAAAATGAAGGGGCAGGGTTCCAATAGGGTTCCAGTTGCATCATCGGTGCGGTTTGCAGTGCCGGTGGGTACTTCTGGAAGCACAGTCAGTAGCCAAAGTAGATCTCAGCGAAGCTGCATGTTCGGCACCCCTCCACTGGTTGGGAGGACGGTGAACACCAAGAGTCTGCTTCCAATGAAGATGAGTTCCCTCCAGCCTCCAGGCTTGAAACAAGCCCGAGCAGCTCACCCATTCCATGGATGAAATCATAAAGCACACCAGAGGATCTTGTGCGATTCCAGTGAGATGTCATGAGATCTATGACATGCCGGTGTTGATGGGTGAGATTTCAGTCCAGGACTGGTGATGTGACCATTTGGAGGGTTTGATCGCCAATCAACAATCACGAGTTCCCAACATTTGGGCGGGCGGGTGGAGAATGGAGTTCATCTATGATCGAGCAACATAAGGAGCCGCCACAAAATCGCATATTAGTCAGATGGATGCCTCGAGTATGTGTTTTTGGACAGTCTAAAGACATTCCCACTGGCTGGTTCTTGAACCCAGCGCCTTCCTGAGTGTCCTGAGGGGTCTTTGCTCCTGGGATCCTGTGGAGGATTTCATCATATCTCATCAAGCTCCGAGTCGACATTGCCTGAACGAGACAATAAGGCTCCTCCACAAATTACAAATGGCTCCCCGAGAGGCCTTGGGTTTCACCCAACCCACTCGGACGCAGGTCCTCCTCCAAAGCCTTTTTCGGTGTCTTGAGGTCCTCTTCGGACGGAACAGGTGTGGCGCAGGGGGCGGGGGAGCGAGTGGGACAGGGATCTGGGAAAGCAGCACCCCCCACGGCGGTGATTGACCACGCGACGCGCGATGGCCCGGTTGTTAGGGTTTGGGGGGGCGGAAGAGTGGGTGAAAAGCGCAATGTTTTTTTGACACCATTCCTTCCCGGTGGCACCGATAAAAGCTGTAGAATCGGATCGATCTAGCAGCTAGCAGCTAGCACATGTCACAGCAGGTTTGGGTCATAGTTTTTAAGCACCCTCTGACTCACTAACATGGAAGGGGAAAGCGGCTCCTTGGAAGACGACTTGCAGCTTGAGAATGGGAGCTCTTCCACTTCCATGATGATATGTTCAGCCTGTCCAGTCGACTTCGTCACTTCAACTCAGGCTTAGCCCAAAAACCAGTGGCTGCAAGCCTGGTTTTGCTGATCAGGTGTTTGTTTTTTATCTGCCCTCTGGGTGAAAACCCTAAAGTGGTGAACATGTTATTGTTTAATTCTCGGCTCCTGGACAGCTAAGCCTGACCAAGTCACTTTTGGATGCTCCGGCCGCCACGGTCTCACAACCGTGTCGGGTCGATTGGACCCGGAACCAGTGACGTCACCAGCGGCTGCAAGGTGAAAAATCAGGCAACCTCCCGGGCACGTGTGAAACAACACAGGAGGTAGGCTCAGGTCATGCCCGGGAGGTCACAGCTCATGCCCTTCATGACCTTGGTGAAGTCACAGCTCATGCCTTCCTCCACCAACCCCACGTGTCAAACCGTGAAACCAGCAGCCGACTAGCCACAAGACGGGGTGCCGAACTTGGAGGATAAGGGTCCATTGTCGACTCACTTGGCGGCTATAAACCGCCCCAACTCCATGTGACCCCTCCCAGACACTCCATGGGACTGCCATATATGCCGATCTGTTGGGGTGGTTTTGGGGTCAATGTAGGCATACATGGCAGTCTCATGGAGTGTTTGGGCCTGGTGTTTGATCCTTCAACCACCGGGTCGGCACCACCCGCCCCTGCGTTGGAGGCGCCTGGCCGAGTTGCTGGGCCTTGTCGCTGGCCTTCCTTGGCGGCGCCGCCGCGGTGGCTCGGGTGGTGAGAAGCGTTGAGGTCGAAGGGGGTCGACGTCGATGGAAAGTGGAAGAAACACCACAGATTTGATCAGATTTATGTTTGTTTTTTTTGTTATGGTCATAATGAAAAACTGGTAGACAGAGATTTATGATCTTCCATTTTTTTCCACCCGAAGAACAGCATATTCCAGGACCATCCGGGTTGGGTGTCCTGTTTGGAGACCCTGCAGTAGTAGGGTAGTCCAGGACACCCAGAACGGATGGTCCTGGTTTGTAGGGAAGCATTATGAATGTCCGGGGGGGGTCCAGAGTGAAAAATACCCAGACACTCCATGTATGCCATATATGCCTACATTGACACCCAAAACCACCCCAATGCAGGCATATTTATGGCATACATGGAGTGTCTGGGATATGTTTTTTAGAGTGGGGTGGAATGGATTCCGCATGATTCCACGTGATCCATGGGGCTTTGGGGCTGTCTTCCCGCGATTCTTTTGGAACTCTTTATTTGAGGAGGAGGGAGACACCCAAGAGGGCGAGTTCACACCATGTTCCATGTTCAATCCTTTGGGTCTTTTGAATAATTGTTGTGTTTTACAAAATGAACGTCAGAGGGAGTGCTTACAATTGGCGCGTTTCAATGATTTCGTGCCGAACCGAACGCGAGGAGGTCCAAGATATTTGACACACTCCATGTAACCATGTATGCTAATATATGCCTACATTGACCCCTGAAACCTCCACAAAGATATGCCATACATGGATTGTCTTCGGTGACCCGGATCCCCGCTCAGGTGTTGCACTGAATTTCCAGACTTCTCTTAGCCAGGCTTCTCCAAAAGCAATCCAACAATCCAAAATAATCGTGTTGGCACTGAGAAAGGTCCTGCCAGTGTAGACTTGTAGACATGTAAACCTTTAACTTTGGGTCAGCCCTTCTTTTCATGTTCATTATCTGAGAAGCGCCACACTCCCATGGCTGCAATGGCTTTGGCCTAAAAATGTTGCCAAAGCCATGCAAGACCCACTTGCTATCTGGAATAGACCTGGTTGCAGCCGAACTCTCACGAGGATAGTTACTTGATTCTTGATCCTTTGATAGCTGCCCGGGCAGCTTCCACGCACTCATTGGGTCTAGCCCAAAAGAACATATACGGTATAATACATACCTAGAATCTGAATGACCTCTATTTTGGACCACCAATTACCCAAAATATATCAAAATATGGTCTTTTTTTATCAAGACAGTGGTCAATTGACAGTCTATACATATATATATATATATCATATATCAGTCTTTTGAAGCGAAAACATGCCACAGGATCTGCGGGTTGCTAGACCTCTTGTCAAAAACCAGTGGTCGCCATGAAGTCCGACGAATCCCTTTGATTTGGTGCCCATGAAGTCCTTTGTTTCGAATCGGCCCAGATCTGGTCAATCCACCAGTCCTGAATCGATGGTAACATGTTGCATTTATATAAAACGGTTCTAGACCACTTTCTCATTGAGACCCCAAAAATCGGGCCAACCCTGGTCCCTGAAATGGTGCCGGAACCGTGCCGTCCTTTCGCGCCGTGTTTCATCGAACCCCAACCGCCGTGGCGGTGTGACAAATGGGGTCGCTTGCTGCGGGAGAGAAACATGTCGAGCTTCAGGTCACGAATCCGAACTTGAAGGGTTTGCTGATGAGACTTGGAGGGATTTTGCTGATGATTTAGGCAGCAGATGGAACTTAGGGAGGGATGCGATCTCGTGGGAAGTCAGAGAGTCTAAGGCTTAAAGGGATGTCTAAGTCTAAGGGTTTGCTGATGTCTAAGGGATGTCTAAGGGATATCGACATCGATGTCTAAGGGCTTCCTGATGTCTAAGGGATGTCTTTTCAGAGGGAGGAAAGGGTCAAACTCATGCGATTTTCACCGGGCAGGTGTAGCAATGCACTCCTAGATGATCAATCAGTCTGAAGTTCCTGAAGGTCGTGGGAAAGCTCCGCTCCAAAAGGTTGTGGGAAGCTTAGAGCTGAAGGAAGGCTCGGAAGTCTGTAGGTGGCTCTGGTGTCTCATATGTATAGATCTCTCTGAGATTCCTGGAGTTAGATATCATCATATCATCCATCCCAAAAGTTCCCCAAAAAAAACAACACCCGGTTCTTGCCCACGCCGGGCCCAGGGACTGCAACCTTCCATGACATTTGCTCAGACGGTGATGTTTTGCCCCGACCTGCGACCTGCAATCTTTTTCTAAATTTCTTCTGAAGGTAGAATCATCATGTGGTCCCATCAGAGTCCCATCTACATTCCAGGTTCTGCGAAGATTGACATGTGCCATTACTGGGATGATGAATATTCTCACATCCACACAGCTGGAAGAAATGGAGCCTCTATAGGCTATAGGCGGAATAAGTTCCTTCCTCCCACCTCGTTCTGCAGCGGCTCTTTTTTCGATGAGCAGCTCCCTCAAGAAACAAGTCCACTCAACAAGAGTTGACTGCAAACCTAGGAGCTGGGCATTTGATGGAAAGTGGTGAAGAACAGGTACTTTCATAGTGTTTTTCCATTGAGATTGGTAGGCCCCCACAGACCTTTAAGGAGAAACGCAATCAACTGAAACACACAATTGTTGTTGCACTTGCTCACCTATGACATATCTATATGACTCGGACATTCTCCAGCGCCCCATCTACCGACCGAGGAACGTGAACACCTCTGCAACGCGTGGCACGGTCTTTTCATTGGTTTCTTGACCTAAAGGGTCCATGGTGTAGGCCTGGTGGTCATGGAGAATGGACTTAGTAGAAGCCAATATGCTCGTTGCAGGTTACGTGCAGACGATGGTGAATCCACGATTGTTTCATCCAATCAACTATACTTATACACGATCAGCTTTTGCTATCCAATGTCCAGTCCATGACAAACAAATAATGTCCAATCAACTACAATTTTTCCCCAAACAGTGTGGACACACTAGGGGGTTCTTACGGTAGTCGTTAAGCACCGGGCTTAGATCGAGTGGGCGGCGCGAGCGTGAACGGCTAATCCGCTGCTATTTACAGTACATTCATGCCTATCGAAATCGTCGATGTGCATTTCGACTGCGCAGGCTCACAAAATCTGGGTGGCCGCGGCAGGTGCTTGTGGCGACTGCGCTCTCGTTGTGGTGCCGCGCGGCGGCACCGCGCATTTTCGCACATGGTGGTCACTTTTCGTGGCAGGCACAAGGGAAACCTCGCGTTTTGGTGGTCCAAAGTCGACTTTTCGTGACAGGCGCACGGGATCGGAGCGTTTTGCTTCAAAGCGGAGATTTCGTGTCAGGTGCAGCACTTTGAACATGGTTGTGGCTCACCGATTTCGTGACAGGTGCAGTGAATCGCAGCTTTTGGACATGTGGCTCGTTTGCGCGCAGCACTTTGTGAAGATATCGCGGCGGGCGAAACATTTTGTCAACCTCAGAAGTCTCGAAGTGCAGATTGCGTGGCAGCCGCAGCACTTGCTAGACCTCAAAGTGCAGAGTTCACTCTCACTCACACTCACTGTCACTCTCACACTCATTCTCACTCGGGTGAATTTTGGAAGAAGTCTCGTGTGAAATGCTCGTTTTGGAGACTTGACATGCGCGTTTTGGAGGAAGTCTAGACCGAAATGCTCGCTTTGCAGACTTGAAGTGTAAGTTTTTGAAGAAGTCCCGTACGAAACGCTCATTTTTTGGAGATGTGACAGTTGACTGTTGGAGACTTTAGTAGTCGTGCCCCACAAGAGTGTGCCACAAGAGTGTCCTACAGAGTCGTGCGCAAGAGTGTCCGACCAGAGTGTCCTACAAGAGTGTCTCGCAAGAGTGTCCCAGAAGAATGCCACGCAAGAGTGTCCTACAAGAGTGTTCCGCAAGAGTGTCCCACAAGAGTGTTCTGCGAGAGTGTCCCCCAAGATTGTCCGACAAAAGTGTCCTACGAGAGTGTCCCACAAGAGTGACATACAAGAGTGTCCCACAAGAGTTTCCTACAAGAGTGTCCGAGTTTCATACAAGAGTGCCCCACAAGAGCGCACAAGACTGTCCCACAAAGGTTTCTGAGAAGAATGCCTCCTACAAGAGTGTCCCACAAGAGTGTTTCCTACAAGAGTGTCAAAAATTGTTTGTGCGTTTGTTTTCGAGTACGTGTTTGCATTCCGGTTCGTGGGTTCCTTCTTGTTTTTGTTACGTTTTCTGCCCTTTTTTTGCACCTCTCCACAGGGCCACGGAGAGAGAGAGAGAGAGAGTTTGGTGTATACGTTCCTTTACGCGTTTTGCGTGTTTAATGCCTTTTTTTGCGCCTAGTCTCTACTTACTTGCTTCTTACGTTCCTAGCTTCCATCCGTGTGACCGGCGATGGCGGCTACTTCTACCGTGCATTCATGACCCTCGATGTCTACGTTCCTTTACTCTTTTCTTACGTTTTTTTGGCGCCTCTCCACAGGACCACTGAAAGAGAGAGAGAGAGAGAGTTTCGTCTACGTTCCTTTACGTTTCTTCAAGTTTTTTTTCTTTGAGAGAATCGACTCCATCAATAGAACCTCGGCTTCCGCTAGGCGACATATGTCCACCAGCATGGAGCTGTGTTCGACGGGCCTAACGTGGTGAGGCTCGATATGGGCAGCAAAAGGTTGGTGTTGCAATATGCGACAACGTTCAACAAGCCGCTGCTTGGTTTATATCGCTTGCACTCCCAGCTCTTTGAGGTGGCTTGTTGCGTGTGACTTTCAGGTTCGATGGCCCTGGGCAGATTCCAAGATGTTAGCTCAGTGGTGCTTCGCTGCACAAAGTCCAGCCAGGGAAGCGAGTTGGCGGCTGGGCTTCCACGACTGCGTTTTTTGACTGATATAGAGAGCCGAACGCCGGCGAGATCGATTGCTGGCCATGCCTGCTGTGTTAGGCCGATGCCCGCGACCCCGGCCGTGGGTGTACAAGTCTGGCGCTCTTGCTGGCCATCTCTACTTGCATTGCTCGAGGTGGCTCAAGTTTCGAGAGTGTATGAGCCGCCGGTGTATTTACAGGCAGGCATCCTCACCTGAAATGGTGGGTGCTCCCCGCCCAAATTCAAAAGGAGTATTCAAAAGAGGTAACCGTGCCTCACACTGATGCCTCAGACTAATTCATGCATAACCGTGCCTCACACTGATGCCTCAGAGCCTCAGACTAATTCTTGCATGTGTGTCAAAGATCGACTGAAAGGGATGAATCTGTCCGCTGCTTGCTAAAGATTCCCAGGTTTTCATGCCATGAAGCTGCTTGTGTGCAGGTCTTGACCTTGCCACGGGCATTTCAGAACCAATACTATGCTTGGCTGTTTGCTCCACAAAAAGCAGTTGCAGGCAACCTCTGTTCTTGATGGCTCTAACTTGTTGTGGAGCTGGCGTCCCTTCACACAGATCTGAATGAAGTTCGTACCATGTCACATCTTAATCAGGACTTTTCCACTGACACAAGGCATTTTCTAGGAGGCAACTTTCTTTTCCTGGATCTTGCGCCAGCAGATGATGAAGATCCAGCTCCGGCCCGAAAACGCCGCAAACTGGAATGGAAACAAGGGCACGAAGACGTGCGCAGACCTCTGGACCAGTCTGTGCTCCTGCAAGAAAAGATGAAAAGTGCTGTTCGGGAATATATATATATATATATATATTCCTGATCTCAGACTGTTTTTCCGGAGCGATGCGTATAGCGCAGCTGGCTGGGTCCAAATCAGACAATGCTCAAAGTGTGAAAGATGCGACCTGCGCTACAAGTTCTCCCATGATCCAGCTGGCGGCGCTGCCCAGACCTCGTTGTTTGTGCACGGTGGCAACCAGCGGCCAAAGCTCTGGCCAACCGCGGGTGCTCCGCCCACATGTGTCTCAACCGGCAGGCCAGCCAACTGACTGACGTGTTCCGGGCCGGATTGCCGAACGCTTCTTTGCTCCTAGTAGTTCCGATGGGCCAAGCATGGAGGCTCCTTGCTTTCGGAGGGGTTGAAAGCAACGAGGGTCTGAAAGCAACGCCGACAGCTGTCTCTTTGCGGTTAGGGACCCAAGCAGATCATTGCGAAAGCTTTATCTTCACTCTTGCGGCAGTACCGGACCAAGAACAGCAAGCAGACTTCTGAATTTGCTTTGTTGACAGTGGGCTTCACTTCATGGGCCCAGCAAAAGGCAGACGAAGCCCACGGATGCGTTGGTGTATGCCGTTTGGCAAACCATTTTCCAATAAAAGGGGCATCTTTGCTTTTCCAATCCCAAGCAAGGATTGGTCCCTGACAACAGACAGCACTTACAAAGTCCAGAGGATGGATTACTCGATCTCGCACCTGTGTGCCATATACTATAAAAGGTAAAAGGAACTTGGGTGCGGTCGCCTTTGCGGTTGGTTGACATCTATCGTCACTTCCTGGAGAAATAGATTTCAATTGTCGTTACAACGGCGGTCTCTGTAATTAGTATGAGGCCAGACAAAATGGTGTTCCATCGATTTGTTCCAGTGGGGTCTCAGGCTGGCTGCGCCTTGTTCATTTGTTGAAAAGTGGGTGTGCAGTTGTCCCTACGGGATCTGCCTCCGATTCCAATCTAAACGGTGGAATCCTACACAAGTAAATGCTGGAATGGACCGTGCTTTCGAAGGAGAATCATCCATTCTTCCATCTTCTTCCCAGCCCCCCATAAAAAATGGACCATGGATCTTCCACTGATCTTCCACTGTTCTTCCAATATCATCAATTCTTCCACTGTTCTTCCACTGTTCATCAATTCTTCCATGGATCAGCATTTTCCGTCTTCCACTCACACTCTGAGTATTTGCCTCCCTCCCTTCACCGAGGTCACCCTGACGGACGACGTGGGAAAGGGCCTCGGCCCCGAGGCGGTTGTTCGGACCAATCCGGGTCTTTGATTGGTTTCAGCCTTGACTTCGGAGGATGGTTGAAACCCAGTTGGGGCGGCAATAGAAACATGTGTTTAAAAGTTGGGTTGGTGAAAGAATGCCAACATGTCGTATTTTTGGGGAGAGCGTTTGTGCACTGAGGATCCAAAACTCTGGAATCGAGCCTATCATCTCAGAAAAAGATGAAGCAACAGCAAGTCACTTCCTTGTTTCTTTGTAGTTACTATTAGTTGATCTTAATTGAGGGGTCACCAAATTCCCTTATTAGCAAACCACCCAGCATACATATAGAGGCATTATAGAGGAACTTCAGATCTACCGAACCTGCAAGCGGATTGTGCTGATGATCTTTGGGTGATGAATTCCTCTCCTGACCAACATGTTCATCATCGAACTATACTATGTGGATCTATGTGGATTCCGAACCAAAACGATGGCTGCAGAGCATGTTCTTTTGCTTCGATTCAACTCAGTTGTTTCACGGCTTAACCCACTGAGTTCGCTTCAGTTCTCCAGGACCTTCGCCCTTTCGAGACGCTTTGGGCTTCGGCCGAGCCGGTGCGCCGCGGTCAGCGCCAGGTGGTGGCCTTCTTCGTGGAGGCCTTCGGCCGCCGAAGCGCCCTGAGTGGCGCCGTCAGCTGCTGGTGGCTGAGACGAGAAGTGGGGGGTGGTGGAGGGTAGATGGAGGGTATTGGAGCTCAGCTCGGTGGCGAGGTTGAGGTAGGGATGTGGATTAAATAGACCCAAGAAAATGAGTTTTGCTGTGGGGGGATGGTGACGATCTAATGCTTGGGGTGGCCCAAATCCTGCAAAGACTCGTATATAATAGATTTGGTACCGAAGGAGAGAGAGAGAGAGAGAGCGAAGTGACAAGTATGGGAAAATCATCTTGTTTGTTGGAGGCACAAGGCCGTATGTCTACTTGGTCCACCTTCACTTTAGTAACCAGAAGCGAACCAAGGGCATCGCTAACCGAACGGAACGTTCGGACGCTACGAGCGGGGTGCTCCTGGGCCGTCGGGTGGTTTGGACCGGACCTCCTGCTCTCATCATCCCTTCTCGAGTGGTGGTGTGCTGGCTTTTGGGGTCGACGTTCTCTCCCAAGATTTGGGGTTGTGGTTGTGGTCATCCACCAAAACCCGGAGAAACATGGGTTTCTTGTGGTTTTGCCCGTGGAGAAGGACTAAGATATCTTGTGGAAGTGGCCAGAAGAATGCGAGGGGGTTTCTAGGGAAGGAAGGTTGGAATAAAGACACCAAAATTGCATTGTAGTCTGGCAACTAGCAGATTGTAAAGGGCTTAACCGTACTGGGATTTGGCAACAGATGAGGTTCTATAAGGATTACAGCTGTTCCTCTGCAGGGTTTTGGAGGAGGTGGTGGACAGAACACACGGACTAGGAGTGTGAGTACTGTTGAGGGTCCAGTATGTTTGAGGGCCGAGCATGTTTTGGTCCCCGCTTGCCAATCTCCACCATGCCCATGTGATATTGATAAATAATACATACGAATAATAGATCTCAGGTGCATAACATGATATCATGATATATTTGATTATTTGAGTTGATTTGGAGAGAACACAACCACGTCCCAGCCTTTCCCGACAGTGTCCCCTTGTCCGACACATCCTTTCGATTCTCGTCGCTCGCGCTGCGCGGACACCGTGTCTCGTTTGCGCTTGCGCCGCTGTGTGATGCCCAAAGGTTACTTTGTGCGGTCTTTCTCTACGTCTCCCGCTGGACCATTGTGCCACCTGGCCGTTTGTGTGCGAGTGACCTGGCCTCCCCCCCACCGAAAGAGCCAGGGGCTGGGCTGCCCCGAAACTCCCATGGCAGGTACATGGGTTTGGGGAAGATGATGTGGAACCTAGCAACAGCAGCTGCGTTGTGAGAATTGAGTCTCGTTACATCAACGTTCACCCAAAGGGAACAGAAATCGGGAAGGCACTGCTCCTCACATGTCCGACAGATGACTCCAATGATGCTTGGAATCGAGGTCAGAGGTTTGAGCCCATTCACTCCACCAGTGCTGACGCTCACCCCGGCACGATGGAGTCTTTTGAAGTCGCCCGAGGTCGCCCGAGGTCGTTGGAAGCAAGAGGGGATTGCCCCCACAAGAAATTCTGTGTTGAGCCATGCGTTGAGATGTGTTTAATCCTAACTGATAGAAAAGTCAACTCTTAAGATGTACTACAGCTTGCATATTGACTATATAGATTCTGTAATCTCCCAAACACTATACTATCAGAAATCCCAAACATTTGTTGTATTACGGTATTATGATATTGTGCACAACATTTGTCTGCTCGAATTTCCTGTGGTACTATACCTACCCTCTTTGGATGCACGCACTTGCGGACTGTCGCTCGCGCCCACACCCCCCCCTTTCCGGGATTTTCCGGTGGGGTTGGGTGGGTCTGACTCCGGTGACACCGTGAACCTAGAAAAAGAACCAGGAAAAGAATGAACTGTACAAGACCATCTACCAACATCCGGAAGCATCCAAAGATCAAGGTTGGAAGACTGCACGGTTTCACGAATTGCATGGTGGGCACAAAAGGCATCTAATTGGGACCGGGGAAGTGAATATCATATCCCATCCTCGGATGGAACCCCCATCCCATCCCCCCTTTTTCTCATCATTTGACACCAAACGCCCTGGGCTTTCGCCGAGGAACGACGTCCTTCGCGTGGAGCGCCTGGAAAAGCTGCCCTCGGACGCCGTCTGAGACCGCCGGGTCTCGGACGCTCCCGGCGGTCCGTGCGACGCGTCCTCCTTTCCGTCGTCTCCAAGAGAGGGCGGGAGAGGAAGGAGCAGAGCGGAGATCTGATCTGGTGTGGTCTTGGATCGGGGCGAGCGGAGTCTGTTTTCTAGAGCGGAGGGGGCAAAGATTCGGGGGTGGGAGATTCGGGGTTGGGGAGATTTTGAAGTTGTGTTCGATGAGCCACAGCAAGGGTCCCATGAACATCTTTCATGAATGATTGTGTTGTAATGCTGAAAAAGAGCGTAGAGATGCCCTTTTTGTGAAACTCCAAGGTCCATTATGGTCC